CCCCCCCCCCCCCCCCCATCCAGGAAATGCTGCGATGAGGGACGAAAATTGATTTTTTCTGCCAAAGTTTTGGAGCTGAGCCCCTTAAAAAGAATTTCAAATTATCTAGAACCGTTCCTAAGTAGCATGGGCAGTCTAAGCTGCAACCCCTCCCCCTACGCCAGTGGTAAACTTTAAATCTAAAAAATCAGTTACAACTTGAGGAAGTTTATTGTTTTTTCAATAAATGTGTCTTACAATCCTGATTTTACAACAGCAGCAAAAAAAAAAAAGTCTGCTGCCAACTATACTAGAATCGCAGAAGATGCTATCTAAAATTAAAAGCGTTTTTTTTGTGTGTGTGTGCACTGTATTGTTTAAGACAAATATGTTCGTGCATAAAACTAGGTCATCGGTTTATATCGTTTATATTTATTGACTAACGCTTTACGAAAAAGAAACACTCTTCTATAAACTTCTAAGTAGTTCGTGGATAGATAAGGTATTATATTTTTTCTATTCTACAATGAAAATACTGCTTTTTCGAAAAAGATGTCGATCTAGCCAGTGAAGGTTTTGCTTGGTTCTGTGTGGCATGTCAAGAACGAAATACACTATGGGTGATGTAGCAAATTGAAAGCAATTAAGAATCGACATGCAACATGCAACATGCAACATGCAACATGCAACATGCAACATGCAACATGCAACATGCAGGGGAAAACTTTACCAGCTTTTTTTAACAGCTGTATAAGACAAATTACGTATTGATGTTACACAGGGTATAAAGGCAACTACAATATCCTGCAAAATATAGAATGTGCCACCTAGCATTCTAGAGGACCGTTCCCGGGATCTACTATGTTCTAGCTACACTCTTTCATGACTGTGCCTCTCGTGACTACTTCTGCTGAACGAAGGGTTTTCATTTGGCATTCTTTTCTCCGGATGTGGCTTGTGCCATGGGTGTCGCAGAACCTTGCATAGATTGCATGTTTCCTGGAACTTTGGGATAGAGGGAGGAGCCACTGCCACATGCCATGGGTGCATTTCCCTGCATTGGCATATTGCCTTGCATTGTGGGATTGGTTGGGGGACCACTGCCGGTCGCCAT